CACAATACCCAACACTGGACACTTAAAGGGACTACCGGTTTACTCTGGCTCATGTTTCAATTCATAGTTCCTTGATTTCAAGTCAGGACAGCATGGCGGAAGGGAATAAGGAGGAGACCCACTCATTGCATGATATCCAGAAAACAGAAGAAGGATCAAAGGAAGATCCAGGAAGGGAGATATAACCTTAGATATAACTGGACAGTGATCCACCTCTTCTGAACTAGCCCCACCTCCTAAGAGCAAGTTAGCTATTCTGCCCAGTAATCCAATCACCTTGCAGAAGTTCTATCTATGATCACATACGAATTTAGGGGGAAATCTAGACATAAACCATAACAACAGGCTTGTGTTTTTAAAAAGATAAAATGTCATAACTTATTTCTGTTCTATTTAATTTTCTACCTTTAACTATGAAAGGAGTGCATAAAATTCATTGAAAGAAGTTTACATTTAAAACACATGACATGAGGGCACCTCTAATTAATTAATACAGGCCAAATAGTATGAAAAGTTACTCTAATTTTATTGATGTTTTGTGACTTGAATCACATTTCTAAGATGAGTAAAATGTATACATTTGTCATTAAATAAACAAGACAGAAACTGGGAGAACTCCATTCACAAAACAATTGATAAGGAAATAGAAACATTAATTTTCCTGATTTGATGGGTACACATTGTATAAATGCACTGAAAGATCACAGTGTACCTCAAAAAAGCCTATAACTATTAAATGTTAATTTTTTTAAAAAACTAAACAAATGGAAATGCTTTCTACATTGATTTGATCTTTATGTGTTGTACACACGTATCAAATTATCACATTGAATCCCTTAAGAAGTCCCATTTGACCCCGCTATTCCACTGCTGGGGATTTTCCCCAAAGAATTAAAAGAATCATACCACAGTGCTATATGTGCACCCATGTTCATAGCACAGTTTGTAAGAGCTAAAACTTGGAAACAGCCCAAATGCCCATCAACTGGAGACTGGATAAAGAAAATGTGTTTTGTTTTAAAAAATGGAGTACTACTCAGCCATAAAAAATAAGAAATTAGAGACATTTATAGCTAAGTGGATGCACATTGAGGCAATACTCTTAAGTGAAATAAATAGGACACACGTGTATAAATACCGAATAGTTTCTCTGGTGTGAGAAAATGAAAGTGTAAAAAAGGACTAAAATGTACAATAGGTAATGTGAAATAGGAAGAAAAGGGGCAAAGGGGAAGGAAGTGGGAGGGCTAGGGGAAAGGATAGAAGGCAATGGAATTAATAGGAGAAAATGGAAAAATAGGAACAAAATCTTTGTAAATAGGGAGGAATGGAGGGGTTGAAGGGAGGGCTGGGCAAGGGTGAAAAATAAGAACCAAGAGAGATTATGTAAAGGTGCAAATTTCCAATGATGAATGTGATTTTATTGTATACCTAAAATGTACCAATGATTAGAATGAATAATCGATAATGCAAAATCGGAAGAAAATATCCAAAGGGGTCGGGATAGTGGGAGGGGCAGGGGAAAGGAAAGAAGGGAAAGGAAAAATGATTAGAAATGGAAAAAAATGGAAATAAAGTCTTTATAAATAAGGCAGGGTGGAGGGGGTGAAGGGAGGGCTAGGAATGGGGAAAAAATAAGAACCAAGATGCATCATGTAAAGGTACAAGTTCCCAATGAGAAATGTAATTGTGTTGTATACCTAAAATGTACCAATAAAAGAATTTAAGGTAAAAAAAAGAAATAACTTCAGTCAGGGAAAAGAATATTAAAATATGAACACATTTAAGATATAAAATGAAGACATTACTAGAAAATATGAAAGTTAGTGGCCAAAATAATGTGCTTGCAATCCTTAGCACATCTTAAATATATATTATTCATTTAATCCTACTGTAGTATCAATGACCTATCACCAATCCCATTTTATTTTATGAGGAAGAACCTACAAGACGGATGGGCTCAGTGTGTTTTTATTTACTTATTTTTTCATGCTTACATAGCTTATGTGGAACTCAGACCCAAACACAAGCACTACTTGACTCCTACTTTCATGTGCTTTAAAAAAAATATATCCTGGGCATAACAATAAAATTGTAACTGTCATACTGACAAAAATACTGATGATGATAAACTGAAAATACATCAATATTTACCTTTAATCACAATTTAATAATAACAATAATCATTCTAGAAATATATTGGCTAAGGCCTGTCAATCCAGCCAACAGAAGAGTATTCCATTTGCAAATATTCCCCAACAATGATTCATTAGTATTTAACATCCCTTCATTCAGAAAGATCTTAGAAGGCATATATAGTATTGTTTGTATGGCAATGTACTGAGTCTTGAATACATTTCTGTTATACAAGTCATTCATTTTCACATTTACTTTCCTTAGAGTGAAATATACATTGAGATTGTAACTGTAAGTTATCCCTCCTACCAAAATAACACAACTGTATCAGTGAGTTGCTAACATTATAATAGTATCACTTATTAGATAAAAGGATTGTACTAGTTCCTGCACTCGTAGATATCCTGTTCACCTCTTTCTCTGGCTTATAATTTATCTGTAACCTTGTGTAATCACTAATTCATCTTTACTGAGGAAAATGAGGTTTCTATAGAATGGAAAACAAGAAGAAATAAAAAATGTGTATTGACCACAATATATGTCTCTTGGATATTTAGAGAATATATTCTTTGGATAATTTCTATGAACTATTGCATTTAACCATCTATGAAGAAACTTGTCCCTAATTCTCCTTCATATTCCACAATCTGCACTCTTCTTGGGGAAAAAAATGTTCCAAAGAATTTATAGGAGAAATCCTTCTAAAGTTGCTGTACTTGCTTATGCTGGAAATCAGAAACTAGGTTCAAATAAGAAGACAGCACTAAAAAAAAAAGGCAGAAGACAAATAAAGGGCTGAAAACAAGGCCATTACAAGGAAGGAAAACCCATCATTGCAAGGCATTTGTCCGTGAGTAACAAGAAATTAGTAACTCTTTCAGAATATGATGCATGGAGATACCTTTCATGATCAGAGGAACACAGCACTTTATACATGGTAAAGCAAATTCCTTCACTGTACCCAAACCTAAAGAGTAGGTGTCAAGGATGTATAATATATAGTATGTGAATTTGGGAGCACATCAAATTTGTCATCTGGTCACTCAGTAACACAGATGGTTCCAACTTCTACAGAGACATTAGAAGTACAAATTTGGGTCACTTCAGTAAAATCATAAACACAAGCAGATGCATTAGAATCTAATTCTATCTAAACAAGGATCTTTGGAATGTGAGAAAAAAGATAACGGTATATCATCCAATTTTTCTACTGTTATGGTCCAAATGAACAGTTTCTTCTCTGAACTCTCCTAACAAAATTGGAGGTGTTTGGGTGTTAAAGCAAAGAAGCAGGAGATACTGTTAAAAATAAATATAAATGTGCTAATCCAACATCCATTTAAATGCTGTCCTACCTAATGTTGGTATCTTTGTCACTTTTTCTCCAACTTTTCAAGCTAAATCCTATTGCTTCCTTTATACAACTTGCTTATTTACTGTTTAAGAAAATTTGAAAAAAAAACATTATTTTCATGGTATCTAAGGGTTAGAAATTTTGGAAAGCTTTAACCATAAAATCTTGCTAGAGTCCCTTTTGGGTGCAGGCAAACTATCATGCATGGCTACAGTCAGCTGAACTTTGGAGCACAAGATTATACTTCTCAGATGACTTGCTCACATGATTGGAAAGTTGAAACTGGTTCTAGGGGAATGGTCTCAATTCCTCTCCACATTGTCCCCAAGCTCCTAAAACAGTAGCACACCATTGGGGGCATGATCTTTGGTCAGTAAGAAGCACCCAGATTGCAGTAGAAATTGACAAATTACTCTCAACTGGTTACACGAATGTAAGACATTTCTACATCAAAAGATATCAACTCAATAGTTGACTTGGATTAATGAGTTCCTCTGACATTTTGATGGGTAATAAACCATTTCTTATGCTCTAAATGTTAATCAAAAGATGACTAAGCAAGTTATAGGAGTGTGAATTCATTAATGGAAATTATGAGATAGTCATTTTAAAACTTGTCTTAATCTTCATCATGATCTGGAATTTCTACAATTTCCCTCATTTTACAGTAGACATAAACCTAGAAGTGAAATTCTGCAATATTAAAGGGAACCAAAATCACAGGAATTTACTAATCTATTGAGATAATGTATTTTAAAAGTTTTGTTGTTACACTTGCATGTGGATGTAAACAATAACAAAAAAAAGTGTGGATCCATTTGGCCAAGAGAGTCTTGGCAAAATATTTATTTTAAACTATTGTTTCTGATGTATTAAAGAGAATATTCCAAATCAAATCTTGCACTCCATCTTAATTTATTCATTTTTCTTTTTTTTATATTGAAGATTTATTTATTTCTGTATTTAATCTTTTTGGGAGATAGTCTCACAATGTAGCTCAGGCTGACCCTCAAACTTAAGGGGACCCTCAGCCACCAAAGTGTCCAGACACTGGATGTGTTCTACCTTACTTGCCAGGAGTCCCTTTATGCTCATTCCTTGACAGTCTATGCAACACTAACTTCAGACATATGCGCATGAATTCACTATTCCATCGTCACTGATACACTATAGACATCCGTCACAATTTTAAAGAGGAAAGGTTTACTTGGTCTTATAGTTCAGTTCATAGGTTGGCACGGCAGAGGGAGATAAACAGAGGAGAGTGAGAGACCGAACCTTCTAGGCCACGCCCCCAGTGACCCACCTCCTCTGACCTCACCTCATTTCCCTGCATCACATTGAGCTGTAGACTCAGTAGAGAAGTCCGCTGATGAGTATCATACACCCATGATCCAGTCACTTCTGAAAGGCCTACCTGTGAGCACAGGAGGCTTTGAGAGGAACTCTACAGAAGAAAGATATGGTCACCAAGCAGGGGATTCACACAACTGTCACATCTAAACCTACTTCAATAGTGATACTCTTCTGTGGTTTCCCAGTTACCACTGGGCTCCAGCGTATACAGTTGGCACAACATGCACCAATCACAGGAGTAGGTACAGATCTGGACCAGAAGGGATGGCCTTATGTCCATCAGTACCAGTGCCAATTTAGCACAGACCTGGTGAAATTTCTCAGGGTGCACAAACTTTGTAGGAATCTTGGACTCATAGCTCTCCAGTGGGGCAGGATACAGCCCCTTGGTTAACTGGCTCAGTGCGGTACACTCATGCAGCAGGACCTGAAGGATGCCCGGGGAAATGGTGTTCCCATAGCAACTGAAGGTCTTGAACTGGGAGCAGCAGCTCAGGGGAGGCAAGATGGCAAGGAGCTGGGCATCTGTGATGTCACAGTTTTGTAGGACCAGGGTCTCCAGGGTGCTGGCCAGTTTGTTTAGCAGAGCCTGGAGGGTCTCCAGGTTGAATGACTTCATTGAGAACTTCTTAAGACTCAGGGACTTCAGCTTGCTTGTGCTTGGACATTGGGCCAGATGCTTTAGGTCAGATTCCTTCAGTGGACTTGAACTCAAGGAGAGGGCCTCCAAGGGGGTCTGGCTCCTCAAGATTTTGTGCAGAGGTCCTTCCAGGAAGAAGACGTCATCTATACGCAGCTCCCCGAGACTTTGCATCTGTCCTAAGTTAAAAGCATAGATGCGGGAATGCCACTTGTTTTTCCAGGCTGAAGTATATACTTCTGGGCTCAGGCTACTGAAGTGAAATGTGTGAAGGTTCGTCATCTTCTTGAGCTGAGGAACAAATGCTTTCATGCTTTCCCGACCCCAGTCACTGGACACGTACAGCTTCTGGATAGAGTCCAGTTGCACAGCACGAAGAAGCTTCAGGATTGTAAAGACAGCATCAGACTTGATCATCACCTCACAGCTCAGGTGTACTGAAGCTTTTCTCTTCCTGGCCCACTTCAAGAGACAGAGTTGTAATTCATCACGGGTGGCACAAGACCTAATCCAGGCTTCAAAGCAAAGGTGCACAAATATTGTCAAGGTCGGCTTCTTCTTCCTCAACCCAGGCTTTCCTGCTTCCTTACTGCTGGCATCTTCTGAGTGGGCAGCACTCATGGCTCTGGGCCCTACAGTCCAGAAGTCCCGGTGTACATCCCTCCAATCCAACATCTGCAGTCTCCACCTGTGGTGAACCTTCTGGGACAAATGAATGTCAATTCCATCCAGTAGGGCTTGCAAGGTCCATAGGTTTCTCCGTTTCAATGTGATTTCTCCAAACTGAGGGTGTAAGGTCTTCGGTTTCCTCAGAGTCATCAGGCTCCTCAAAGGGAGGCAGGGGAAAGGCCAGGCCTGTACCATCACCTTTAGGACCTCATTGTGTTCCCCCATGAAGGCCTCCATGAAAATTTCATGGAAGATCAGGGAGGGCAGGTCATGCAGAGCAGTGCTGGCTGTGGTCTCACTGTTCAGCAGGCTCTGCTTGGTCAGCTCATAGAGAGTCAGTGGGCTCTGTGTAGTCATCCTGAGAAACTCCTGTAATCAAAACAGTCTGGAGGCTGAGGCAGGAGGATCACTGTGCTTTCAAGGCCAGCTTGGACTACAAAGGGATATCAAGGCCAGTCTGAACTATAAGCTGAGCCTGGTGCAGATAAGGGTGATGGAGCTGCAGGATTCTAGCAGGACCAGGCGCTGACTGGAAGCTCCAGGACTCTCAATTTTCTTAAACACTACCACTCAATAGTATAAAATTCATATGTCAAAATGATTATTATGCTAATAAGCAATGAATTTCAACATTTAATGAAATTTAGCTCCAACTTTTCTCTGAACAAAGTCTGCCAGAGGGCAATAAAATAGCAACAGAGATTAAATGCGGGCTTCACTTGAAGAACAAGGGTTGTAAATTGTACTGAATCCTGCTGAATTAATCATATTGAATTGATATACAGAATCCACAGTGTCCCTTTGCAACAATCCCTATCTCTAGCTGCCTAAATGAACAGACTTTTCTCTTTTTGATGAAATTTCTTCATCGATATGGGCCAATTTATCTTGGCAAAATTAGATTATATTTCAGTTTGTAAGAATTTTGTAAAACTCATTAACTCTTTCCTTTGGGAGATGCCTAGATCATTATATTATCTCCATCTTTTTTCCTGCAATTATAATGTCTCCATGTTATTTCCCATTTAGTGATTTTTATGTATACAATCACACTTATATTTGCCCAAATATAATGTGACCACATGATTTTAAATGCCAAATCAAAAAGGAATTGGGGTTTACATTTGGTACTGCAGTATCTATATCATGGTCCTAATTTGTAGATTTTTAGACAATGTGAAAATGCAAGAGCACATATGATACTTTAGTTTAGCTAAGGCAAGTGCCTAAAATTGTGGGAAGTAATAAGATTAACTTAGCCTGCTAATTATACTTTTCCTCAATTTTAGAACATATTTAACTTTTATTTTGTGAAAGAAAAATAGTGCTACTAATATGAAATTGAAAAAAGTCCATTTTTACAAGTTTTCTGAACTTGTAGTCTGATTTATGGTTCATACAAATGGACTCAATGCTAATAAAGTTATAACATATAAGATATATACAAATACCCAATAAGGACTAAGATCCTGTGACAACTATTACAAGCAAAGCAGCATATTTCTGCCACTGAGAGTTGGGAAACTAATTTCTCTTTTGGAAAAAAAAGCTTTTGTTTTCATTTCCATAATTAGTATAAGAAGGCTAATTATTTTCAGATTTTAAATGTTTAAATGAAATGAATTAATGCATGACAATGATTGCAAATAGAACAGTATCAGTAAAAGAATGTTCCTATTATTTCTTAAGTAAAAGTTCTATTTTAATTCTATCAAATTAATTTCAGTGACTAGAGAAGACGGAATATTGTGATGGCTTATTAGCCTTTATTCTTTCTCCAAAAATATTAAATAGTAGTCAAGTAATAAATTGTTATTTCATGGATTCAGCTTTGCATTCTTGTTTTTCACATAAGCTGTTCCATGTAGCTTAACATTTAAGTGCTTAAAATATAATGAAGCTTCTCACTCAAAGCTAGCTCACATCTAGAGACCACCCCAAAGGAACTAAAGACATCATCTTACAGTGATCCATGTATATCCATGTTTAGAGCAACACAATACATAATAGCTAAATCTTGGAAGAAGCCTTGGTGTCCATCACCAGATGAATAAAGAAAGTATAGCCGAGGATTTAGCTCAGTGGCAACGTGCCTGCCGTGTGAGCACAAGGTCCTGAGTTCAATCCCTGGTACTGCAAAAAAACAAAACAAAACAAACAAACAAACAAAAAAACCCAACCAAACAAAAAAGAAAGTATAGTATTTTTACACAATGGAGCAATACACTGCCGCAAAGAATGATGATCCATTTGTAGGAAAAGAGATCCACCCAAAATGTTAAGTAAAATAAGACATACAAACTTAAATATCATATGATTTCTCTTATATGAGAAACCAAATCACAAATAAAGATCAAAATAGAAGACAGATAATAGGAAACAGGGAGATAGATCTTTTGTAAAAGGAAAAGGGACTAAGAGATAGAGGGAAGAAGAAGATGTGGTGGGGAAATGGAGGAGAAAGAATTAAGATATATTATGCACACGCACCTACTCCCCACAAGGAATGTAATTATTATGTACTATAAACATACACTAATAACAAATTGAAAAAAAATACAATTAATTTATCAACTTTTACATGACTGCAAAAATTTTCCCTAATATTGATCTGATGAAGAAATATATATGCAAGCTTTTATTAACAAAAGAAAATTTTAAGCAAGATTAAAGATGAAAAAAAGGCAATAAAATCTTTCATTTTTCACCCTGTCTTTTTAAAAGGTATAGTGAAGCTAAACTCCGATAAATGTATCTGATATCACACAAAGTTAATCAGAAACTCTTTAAAAGTACTTTCTTGTTATTAGCTTGAAAATTTTTTGTCACAAGATTTAATGTATTTATGAGGTAATAAAAATATCTTGTATCTATTTGCAACTAATTATTCTGAATTTTTAACCGAGTACATATCTTGACATTGTGAAACTGAATTTAAACTAAAGGGAATATATTAAAAAATGAAAGAGCAGATATTGTCCTACATAAACTGCAATGAATATGTTCCAAGTGGCTTTGAAATATCATAATGATAAACAGAAGATAAATGGAGATAGCATTTCATTATTGATAAGAAGATTAGAATCCAAAGTTGTACACAGGTAAGATTTAATAAGGCTTTAAGCAGCAGCAGCAATAATAAGATTGTAGCCAGAAGTATAAGGTCAAGATAATGTCAAAAGACTTTTTATTTTTCTAATATCTCTGTCTGTTTAGTGATTATTCCATGCCCAAGAATGGAGTATACATTTTGACAATCTTGAGTAAACTATGGTCTATTAACTTGGAAAATAACCTTCCCTGCTTACAGTCCCTAGGCCTTTCATAATATTATCTACAATTAGAAATAGATTGTAGGTTTCCTAAACTTGAAATTGTCTTTCTTTAACAATGCACTGCCTTTTCCATTTCTTTTAGTATCCAAATAACTAACATTTTACTTCAGTTTTATAACAAGAACCCAACATAAAATAGCAAAAATATAATTTATAAACAAGTCATTGTTTGGACACAAGTTAATATTTTTATAAATCTGATAATCATCTTGTTTTTTGATCTGTGCAGTTATTCGTATGCCATTTTATTTCCCTAAGTATAATCTTATTTAAAATTAGTAAATAAGTTTATACTTACCACATTCCAGAAAATAGTTGATATTAGATATTACATAAATACCTTCAATATCTGATATATGACAGTACATAAATACCTTCTTGGAATTTTTTTTCAAAATATAAATTTTAGACATATGGCCTGGAGATTCAGATAAAACTTAAGTCATGTAAGATTAAATGTGTATTTTTAAAAAGCATCCCTTAACAATCTGATTAGAGAAAAATCTGATTCTGCATACTATACACTTAGACTTTTGAAGGAATGCTAAATAATTTCAACAACCTAAGATAGTTAAATAAAAATCATTTATGTCAAGCATCTAATATATACATTATAAGACAATATGCTAATTTATTTCCAAAACTCACCTCTTTTCAGTGTTTATCACTTGAGCACCATTTGCTGGTACAGAAAATTTGTAGGTTACTTAAAGGAAAATTGCAAAGGAAGAGTGCATTGGAAGTGACTAATGAACTACACTGGGGATGTCACTGCTATGACCTACTCATGTGGTTAAGGAAGTACAGAATTTTAAATTTACACACACACACACACACACACACACACACACACACAGACCCCTCATCCCGAGTTTTTTCATGCAGTAGTCTCTGCTTTCATCAATAATTTCATTATCGGTCAATTTTCCCATTTGCCTTTTGCACAAAATCTTTAGTTGGGGTGCTCAGTTTCCTGAATTATCCATAGGTCTATTGATCATACATTTATTTTACTTTTTATCCAACTCTACATCTTATTTTACCCTCCTGCGCCCTGTAAGTAACCTTGTAATTTTCTTTCAGCTAGGATTACTTTATCATTTTTTTTCCTCCCTTGAAATAGTTCTGCAACAACAATGGCATCAATAAGTACCTTATGGTGGTCACTCCTATTGTCTCTCTTCCATTCTGCATCTGTTATTCTTTCTTCATGAAAAGAATTCAGTAAAGCATGATAGTTTTCTGACACAATTAGAATAAAAAATGGTTAAATATTTGGAAACAAAGTATATTTGAGCTTTAAATATTATTTTGGTTTTATTTGTAATAAAAAAGTTTTTTTCATTTTTATTATTATTTTTAATCTCTGATTAACTATAATAAGATATAATAAGCCACAAAATAGAAGCAACGTGTTTTGTTATAAACTTTCAAAAAAGCCTACCTAAAAGAGGCTTATTGTTGAGAATTGAAGCCCACCAGGAGAGCAAAGAGTCACTGAAATAAAGACACAACAGACTGCAGTGGTTGATGAGTTGTTGGGGTCAACACCTCCTACCAGAACCAGACTAACCTCAGGGAAAGGTTGGCTCAAACCTGCAGTAGAAACTGTGCAGAGTATTTTTGTAATCCCTTTCTCACTGCCACCTCTTTCCCTCCCTTTCTTCATTCCTTCATCTCTAAATTTTTCTTTAGTTTATGTCATATAACGTTTACATTCGTTGTAGGTATTTGGTACTTGTGGGGAAAAAA